TCTTAACAAATCTTTGAAAACGCAGAGAACATTTCATATTTTTTTCTTAAAATATAACTAACAGTGCATATAGAAGATAAAATTTGGAGATTAAAAGTCTGTTTTCCCTTTCCGTATCATTGTCACAGTTGTGGTGAAAGTCTCAAGTAAGAGCATGTCAGCGACCATTCCTAATTAACTCATGGCAGTGCGCCCAGTGTGCACACATTCATGCTCTCTCCTCGTGTATAGATACACATCTCTTAGAGAAACAGCTCTTTACAAAGAAATAAATTGAGTGATTACATTAATTGACACAAATGTTCTTGAAAACAACCCATTTAATTTTGTTTAGGCATTTCCTGAGTGATGTCTCCTTAGTTTCTAATAAATAACCTATTGTAAAACATGCTAACAGAAGACTGTGTAGTGTAGTAGATTCCAAGGTTAATTTATTAAACTTGTCAGCTGTTTATTCTTGGTTAGACTGTGATTTAAAAATGCAGTGTAAAAAAGGCAAAACAAAAACCCACAGGAATTTGGATGTATGATGATAAACTTTTACGTTTGTCTTATTTGCATTTTGCGGACTTAGATGTTTGAGTAGAAGCTGTAGTGAGCCATAGAGGAAGGGTGGTACATAGTGAACATGGTTTTGTGTTCAGGTACATACCAGCATTATTTTCTCTTTCTTCCTATCAAGAAATTTAAAGATTTTTTTGATGAACACTTTTAGAATTCTAAAATATAGATGTTGTCTTAGTGTAAATTGATAAGAAATGCCATAACACAAAGCTTTTGTTTGTTTTATGCCTGTCTTATGCCACAGTGATCAAGTAAGAGGATCCCTGGAACACCCACCCAGTGTGGCAGAAAGTGCCTGAGGGAAGTGAAGGATGATGCAGAAGCAGGATGCTGCCAGAGCATTGTAGTGCCTCCCTCTGCTCCTTGGAAGATGGTTGGGGCAGTCCTGGCCATGTTTTCTCTGAGTGTCACTCTACTGTGCACAAAAAGGCTTCTGCTTTTGCATTTTCTGGTGAATCTGCGGAGAGCAGGAGTGATCAGCGGGCAGAGACTGAGCAGAGACTGACGCCTTTGCATTGCCATACCTGTTGTGGCTCTTATGCAATATATACCAGTGTTTGTCATTGAAATCTGAGTCCTGTTTAAAACTATATTAGTTTATTTTGTTGCCTCTAGAAAAGCCTCTTGGATGTGTTGGCAACAGGTTTTTCCTCAGTGACTGATCCTGGTATCTCATAACTGTTACCAAAATCAGGTTGACTAGAGATGTGTGTACTTCTCTGAAGAAAATGAACCCACTCAACATGCCATTTTTAATTTAGGTAATGGTTTATTTTAAATTACAAAATTATTAAAAAACAGTAAAGCTCCTGTGATTGAATGAGATAAGGAGAATTGTGAAAAAATGTTGGACTTTAAATGCATCTGCATTGTTTTCCAGGTTTGGAAATGTCACACTTACAGGGAGCTAATTTCCTTATGTCTGTGTAATGTTTTTACCAACCATTTGGTAGTTATGATGACTAGGTTCAAAGTGATGTATCACAGCCAGTGGTAGGGACCACATTTAACTTTACTCATAGAAAAGTTAAACAACTGTTCCAAAATCAAACCTCTGTAGACAAGAGGGACCCACTGAGGTCTCTTGGGCTGTGCTGGATTAATGATTTAAGGAGGGTGAGGTGTTCTGGATCTGTCTTTATGGACCTGCAGAACCCAGATGATCAGCTCAAAGGTGACAGGTAGTTTTTAGGATGAATAATGTGAGATGCAGTTAATTGTGTCTTAACATGATCCTCTCTATTGGAAAGGACAGTGCTATGTGTTTGAGAGTGGCACTAAAGAGCACCCTACTCAGAAGCTGAAAGCAGGTTGCAGTATAGTATGCATAAATATACATTCCCAGTGTCTGCAAAAACATATTTTGGGACTGCTGTCACCAGTTGTTGTCATTTTAATGGCATAATGTAATTGATATGCATTTGTTTTTCTGAATAATCCAAAAGTAGGAGTGAAATGATTCACTTGGAAAGTAGGAGCTGGGATACCTGGCTGACACATAGATAATAAAAGTACATATTGAAGTTTGCAAGTGTGAATACTGAAGATGGGCTGCTAAGGTGCTTCTGTGGTAAACAGGATTTGAGAAATGGAAAAGATGAGTTATGACCACTAGGCTTTAAATTAGGTTTCGTACTCGTAGTAGGTTTTTTGAAATATTTTATATCTTGTGAAGTGGTAATGTTTAGTGTCCATATGCATGCCACTTAATTGTTATTCAGCAACATTGTCAAGCATTTCCGTTTCAGGGATTCATTAGTTTTTTAAAGATTTTCTTATGCTATAATTTTTCCAGGGTTTAAATGCTTTGGGTTTTGTAATTTCTCGAATGGGATTAATTTTTAAGGCTTAGTGAAACTCTTTCATTACAGAAAGATAAGGAAAAGTGTGTTTCACTTTAGCAACATTATTTGAGACTGCTAACAGCTGAGATCTTCTAGCAATTTAGCAAAAAATATGTCTTGGAAATAATAGCTGAGATAAACACGCAAATCTGCACAGAAGTTGAATAATATGTTTTTTTCTTTTTTTTGGTTTTCTTTTTTCCTTTCTTTTTTTCTTTGTTTCTGTTTTTTTTTAGTAACGGCATCAGGGTACTGCTCAGGTCAGGGTGGCCGTGCTGGCCAGCAGCCTGCCCTGCTACCATGGTGGGTCACTTCTCTGCACTCCAGTGCTGCCTTCCTCCATGGAGCTGGTAAATTAAACCCATTTTTTAGTGCTGGCCTCTTTCTTGACTTTGGAAACCTAAGAAACATGTGTGCTGGTATGTGCTGTAGTAGACTGACCTTTTCTTGTAGTGTGGGGTGTGCTCAAGGAAGGAGGCAGCAATGCACAGTGAATCACAAACAGTGTGGGGATTGCCTTGCTCTGTGCCAAATTATGTTTTCTATCTCCAGCATGTAATTTCAGGCAAATCTGTTGAAGTCTTTAATCTATAATTAGACTTACAAGCTTCTTTAGACCTTTTGGGTTGCCACTCTTTAAATGGAATACAGCATTATTTTTCTATGAATCTTTCCAACATATTTTCCAAAGAATGCTTTCCTGGTGTTTTTTAAAATTTATTTATATTTTCCTTCAGCTTTCTAAAATGGGTATGTAGAGATCCTATTTCCATCAAGAAATAAACTCAAAATTACCTGGTACAAGTGACTGATATCTATGGATTTTTTTTCCTGGCAGTACTGAGCAAAAATGTTTTTCAGTAGGCTAAATTAAATATGTATTTCTAAAATTGGATTCATACAGTGGGTTTTTCTGCATTAAAATTAAATAAGTTAATTAAAATGTCACTTGTCACTCCTTTTTATGTGTCAATACATGAATGTCTGGCTAAATAAATCAATTCTGTCACCTGGTGTTGGTGTGAGACAGTTCCCTCTGTGAAGGCCCCTCAGGACAATGCCTGTCTCCCTGGAGGGACAGGCATTCTTATACTTCACTACATCGATGTGTGTGTCTATGTGCACCTACCTATGTACCTATGTCTGTATGCACAGGTGTAGTCACAGGGTGTTCCTGTCATGTTTGAGAAGCAGCCTTTGGGTGCCTCCTTTGCTTGAGTGTCATTTGTCCTTGCTGGTTCCTCATTTTCACATATTTATTACAGAACTACTCTACAGACTTTTTGTTTCTGTTGTAAGAGTTTTAATTTTAGGCATAATCAGATTCAGACTTTTTTTTCTTTCTGTACAACAGATATTAATAGATACTGCCTAATCTCCAAAGAAACCTGTAAGCCCATTTTAATTGCAGATACAGCAACCTTAAATAGTTTGTTAAAATAGTCTCAATGTGCTATGGGTAAGCAGTTTGCTTCTAATGTAGTTTTCTTAGTGTTTTGGGGAATTTATGTGCCCCTAAATTGACCTAAGGTATTTTCCTTTTGCATTTTCTACTGATCAGTTTTAATTTCCCTTCTCAGCTCCCCATAGCATATATTCTGGAGAACTTGCTGCTGTTCTGTTTTGGTAGGAGGGATGTCCTACCTGCTTTGGTATCTGTTGTGATTTAGCAGTCTATGGAAGTTGAAGTCTGTCCTTCTGTCCCTTACAAACTTTGGTGACTCCAAGCAATAAAAACTGCCAACATGGAATGCTCTAAGCAAAGAGGAGAAATTGTAGAAAATGGCATCGTTATTTTAAAATTCTTCTAAACCAGGGGATTCTTTTAAGAATTTATACATTTGGCTCAGCTATAACTTTCTTGGCATCCTTATGTTCATTTAGGGAAGTTCATATATATATTTATAGGAAATACATTCTGGAGCTTAATCCAAAGGTTTGCAAACTTTTGGGCTCTCCACAGAGCCAAAACCATGTATTTCTATATCTGTTTTAGGTTTCCGTGGATTTCACTATTAGATTTTGCCAGTTGTGTGGTCTCTCCAAATTCTGCTTCAGTGTACATACATTTCAGTTTTGTTGCTGGTTGTTTGGTTTGGGTTTTTTTCTTTTTATATATTGCTGTTCCTTCACAGTCATATTTTTACTGTCTAGCACTTGTTCTGTTTTCCAAAGCAACAGTTATCACTAGTTTATGTTACCATTTTACTGCACTTAGGTTTTATATTTCTTTTTTTTTTTTTTCCCTTTAATCTGAGGCATATTTTGGCCATTGCTTGTTCTTCTATTTGAAATTGTGCGAAGATAGCTACTGCAGCTACACCAGCCCAGAATACCTCCTATTACTTTTCTTTTTAGGCATTTTGATAGTTTGCAGAATTTTACTCATAATGCTTCTGTGGAAATGGAACCTCTGTAAGAGCAACTTCCTAATGTCTTCTCATACAATTTTCCACACACATGCAGTTCTTCAGATTCATTCTGTGTTCTTGCTTGCAGTTAGTAACTAGCATGCAAATGGGATTTGAGAATTGTTTCCTGAAAATTAATAAATGCTTTTACACTTCTACTAAACGTTATTCCCCTTTACAGATGCAGAGAGAAGAAATATGATTATTATAACCTGCCAAAAACCTCTGTTGTGATAGCTTTTTATAACGAGGCTTGGTCAACACTTCTGCGAACTGTTCACAGTGTTCTTGAGACATCTCCAGATATACTTCTGGAAGAAATTATCCTTGTAGATGACTACAGTGACAAAGGTAGGAAGAATAAGTCTAAATAGTATTGATGATGGGCTTTTTTTGGTCAGCTAGTGTATAGAAGAAAGAGTTATGCTGTTCAGGTCACGTACCAGAATACAGGACAACAAAGCCCTCTCACTGAAAAATAGCTTTTCTTGTAGTGTACCAGTGAAAAATTTGGCTTATGTACCAAATTTCGTTTGGAATGGGGAAGCACATTTGCTGTGCTATAACATGAGTGCTTGTGTATATAGATAGATTAGAGTCTGATCAGATCACTTCAGGTTTCCTGAATTGAACAAGTTTCAATTGCACCAATGCTCCCCTGGTGTCTCATATAATGACAGTGACCTAGTTCTTTGGTCTTGTTTGAATAACAAGGCACAAAGGCAATGCTGGCATTTTCCACCACACATGAATTGTGTTAAGAATAAAACTTTTATACGGAAAGTCTTAAGTAATATTTGAGAAGTTCTTATTGATCCAGGGATGTATTACAGAGGTAAATGTGAAGCGTTCAGTTTCTTAAAAGTAACTGTGATTTGTGTCCATCCACATTCCATGCTTTTTTCCTGTCCTTTTTAATCATGTATAGCCAAATCTGAGTTCAAAGTACCACAATCTTTAGAGCCATACTATGAGTAATATGCTAGTGAGGAGAGAGCTTCCTATAGCAAGACACAAATAAATCTTTTCAGACTATACTATTCCCTCCTTTTTTGGCTTGTTACAGAACATTTAAAGGAGACTTTGGAAAACTACGTGGCTGGCCTACGCAAGGTGCGTCTTATCCGCGCAAATAAGCGAGAGGGGCTGGTTCGAGCCCGGCTGCTGGGGGCATCTGTGGCGAAAGGAGACATCCTAACGTTCCTGGACTGCCACTGTGAGTGCCATGAGGGCTGGCTGGAGCCACTGCTGGCAAGGTGAGCTCATGCCCTGGGCTGGTTTTCTCTCCCACTGGAGAAGAAGGAGTGAGACAGTTTGGCCCACTTCTGCAGTGGAAAAATGATTCATGGTTCACCAAAGGTTACTGCAGTCCGGTGGGTTGTTTTTTTGCTTGTTTGTTCTTGTTTGTTTGGGTTTTTTTTGTTTTTTGCTTGTTTTAAGTTTTTTCCCTGAGGACCAGGCTGCCTCTTCAGGCAATGGAAAATTTTGGTTTTCTAGAAGATGAGTCCTGACCTCCAGCTTTGGAACTACATTGGTAAAAGAGGCTATTTCTGTCAGCCTGGATGAGCAGAAGGTCTGGAAAGATATGTGCCCTGCAAGGCAGTGTTTACATAATACAAGTCAATAAACTCCATCTTCTTAGTCCTGAGCAAATTCACCTTTCCAGACTGGTTCTGACATAAAGGATCATGGTGTAAGATAGGGAGGAGTAAATGTTATGTCAACATTGACTCTTACTTAGAAACCATCTGTCCTGGGACACTACGCTTTATGCCTGTGTGGTCTCTTGTTAATCCTGCAGATCCGTCAGGCTGTTCAGAAAACTTTCATTAATTAAAAGCAAGCAAACAAACAACAAAAAACCCAAGGAACCTTCCCAAAACTCTAACAAAAAACCCTTAGAAACCAGAACACTAGCCTTCTGTTTCAGCTGAGAATATTTATTGTATTCTTGAAGCCTCACCATGTGTAGCCAGCAGCCATACATGCACTTTTCCTGCTATGTGTTCAGCCACTGGCACCTCACCACAGCACCTACTGCTCCTGCACCTCGTTACAAGGCTCTATTAGTTTTGCCCCTTCTACTAACAACTCATGGATTTATCCCCTTGGATGCCATTAGCAGATACTGATAGGTACAGGACCTGAATCAGACCTCCTAAATATTGTATATAGAAAACCAGCTCTCTTCAAAACATAATTAAAAGAAAAAAAAAAAACAAAACCTCTTTCCTGAAGGCCAGTGTTTTGATTTGAAACCTGTTAAGATTCTGACCAGGTACAGTAGAGTACAGAAAATGACTAGAAAAATAACCCTAATACAAACCGGAGAGAGTCTTCCAAAAGCACAAAGTGTCTTGATGTGTGCAAGTCTTCCTAATTCCTAGTGGGACTTGTATTCTCAAATTCCCCATGTCCCTTTGAAATTGTACCTAGAATACAATTTCAATTTTGTTTTCTTAAAATTGTCATGCTTACCTTGTTTCTAAATTTCACACCGAGTGTATTCCAGATAACTGTGGGGTAGCTATGATAGCATGAAGAAAGGAAAAGGGATAAATATCAAATCATGAGTACAGGTTTAACCGCTGTCGCCTAAAAAAGTGAATGATGGGGGAAAAGTCTGTGATTTCTTCACTTCTTTAGCGCCACTAGATGGCAATCTTGGGGAAGGATTGGGATTTTTTTAAACGCAATAATCACCACCTGTAAAAAGTTAGCCCTCTCTTGGAATTCCTGTCGTTCTTGCTGCAGATGCAGACATACATCTCTAAGGGTTTTTTCTGCAGCGTATCTGACTCAAATGTATGACAGCAATACGACAGTGTTAGCATTTTGCAGTGCAAACATAGTTGTGTTTGTAAGCTGTCTGTGTATTGTACCATCTAGTTAATACTTACAGAAAAGGTGATGTTTTTTCACTTACTTCATTCCTTTCATAATTGAAATCATATGCCAGCTACCTACTTTTTACTAATTTTACTACTTGTTACAGGAGGAGCAAAAATATTTTTACTTTTAATTGTTTTTTCCTTTTCCTCTGTATGTATCATTTTCATTGCTTTGTACAATGAGGATTCATACAAAGTTTTATGTAAGTGAGACAGGAGATAACAATATTTGTATAAACTCTTTTGTGTGCTCAACCAAACAAAGTCTCAACGGGAGATCATAAAGAAGAAAACAGCTGTTTCACATATTCCCTCCAGCAACAAGAGACCATTTCACAGTTAAGGCAGTCTTTCTCAGCTCAGACAATACTACTTTGGAATTGCTGCTGTTCTCTGCTGCATTTAACCATCACAAGCTACTCTAATTTCACAGTATGAGCCCTTGGTCAGTCTACAGATTTTTACCCTAACAATCCCATGAGGAATGAGCTCCCTTTGGATGCACTACACATCTTTCTTGTTTAACAGTATAACGTGTTCAGTTTTCTTTCACCTCTGAAATATGTAAATACTAGATGCAGGGCTAGAGTGCATATCTGCATCTCTAAGTCAAACAAGTTACTTCATTTCACTGAACTATCAGAGGATGTCTTACACTAGAACAGGGAGGATGCTAAATAGTGATTTAGGAGAAAAACCTTGGCTTGAGCCTGTGTGCTTGACATTGCTCCTAGTACTGAGGGGGGCCATTCTAGAAGGTGAGGAGAAGGCTAGTAATCCCACTGCCTTCTGTAAGGACGAATCCTTTTGGAAAGGAATCCTGAAGACCCTGCATATATTGAGAAATGGGAGGAAAGTGTTCATCTCCTTGTAGAAGTAGACCTTCAAGAAATGTCATCAGCTCTGATGTATTCATAGTATGATAAAGATCTTGACTATCTTTAGATCACCCTTGGTATTAGGAATGTCATTCTGCAGTACTATCTTGTTTCTCCTTTTCATCTCCTATGTTGCTGGGGTTTCTGGAAGCCTCCTTCACTTATGTTTCATTGTTGGAGGTCTAATTCCCATGTTGTGGGTTTGGTTTTTTCTAAGCTCAGGGCTTCTTTTGAGTTACTGTTACAGTACTCAGTACAACATTTGCAGGTGATCACAGTTAGAAGAGCAGCCATGAATTCAAGGGCCAAGAGTCTGTTTGGTTTATTATTCATCACCGCAAAAGTATGCAATCAGACTGCTTTCTAAAACCGCTACCTGTACAGAAGAAAATGAGCACTTTTTTTCTTGACAAAGTGGTGCTGGCTGTGGCAGCCAAACCAGATGCTGAATGTGTTATCTCAAGCCATCTGGCATATCTTGTTTCCACCATCCAGGAAGGCTGATGCTTGCCAGGGGAGCCCATCCTGATACATCCTCCTGATGTAGGAAAATAGGGGTTATTTTTGTATTTATTGTACCATCATTTCCATTCCTGAATGAATTGAAAAGGAGCAAAACTTCATGTTTGGTATTGTAAGCATTCTTTGTTCTTGTCAGTTCTAGTTTTTTTTATTTTTAGAGAAATTTCTAATGGAAGTCACCCTTTTGTTTTAAAACCTTACCAGGATTGCTGAAGAAGAAACAGCTGTTGTCTGCCCTGTCATTGATGTTATTGACTGGAACACATTTGAGTACTTGGGAAATGCTGGTGAGCCACAGATTGGTGGATTTGATTAGCGGCTAGTCTTCACTTGGCACAGTACCCCTGAAAGAGAACAAAAACGGAGGAAGTCCAAGACTGATGTGATCAGGTTAATTTTTATGCATCGTAGAAACTGTGAATGTGTTTGTGACTTCACCTGAAAATGCTGGGTGCTGATAGATGTTTGGGAAATGAGCATATTACTAAAAAGTGTATTTTGTTTAGTTCCCCATTTTTTCCAAAATAACTCCTGTTTACCGTGTTCCTGGAAAAAATAGTGAAAGCTAGAATAGTGAAATAGAAAAGCTGAAATTCCTATTTCATCTTCCATATGGAAAACTTATTGCAAAGTGGTCTCTTGACTTCTCTAGACAAACTCTTACAGATGCTTATCAGCATGTGGAGAGTGTAACTGATTAACTAATACTGGAGAATGTCCTCTGTGCAAAGCAAAGAGCTCTGTGTTGTGAAAAAAATGTACCATGAGCAACAATGAAAAGGGAAAAAAAATCACCAACCAGTAAGAAGGTAAAAGTAGTTTTGAAGATTTTCTTCTGTGCTGTAAGGATAGTTGTAGTTCACTGTGCTATTTTCAAAGGTGAGCCATTTTGACAGTTCTTCAATGGGGTGAAACAATACAGCTCTATCCACCATGGTTTCTGTGAAAGGCTAACTTGCAGAGCTCAGGTTGATGTTTTCATTATGAGTTTTAGTTTTGTTTTATTTTAAGACAAGATACCATCAACTGGTATTATTTGTCACTCAACTTTGTATTTTTAGAAGAGGTAAGAGAATAGAGCAAACAAAGCATCTGGAAAATGAGAGTGGTAGACAAGATCCTGATAGCTGAGGATCTGCTGTGTTCAGCCTAGGTCCATCTGCTGTGGAAGTTGCTGTATTTCAGCAGTTTATTGAAGTAAATTAACCTGTTCAACATTTTTAATATCATCATTTTGTTAGTGCTTTTATCTGTTATTGCATAGACCACAAAAAATATCAAATTATTAAGTTTTCTCAGTCTTTTGTAATTTGCTTATCATGATATCAATACCCAGTATTTCACAAATATTAATGTATTTGTCCTCTACTGAATGAACTTTTTTTTTTTTAATGGGAAATTGAGGTAGTAATTGAATCTTTCTAAGCATGTATGCCCACCTTAAAAAAAAATCCAGATAGAGTAAATGTTTTTTAAAACATTCAGTTCAAATATGATGATTTTTTTTCCCTCATTATAAGAAGAATTGTCTTTGACATGCCAAGAGGAAAATGATGAGGGATAAAGTTTCATGGTAGCCTGAGGTCTGTGAGCTCGACAAGTGTCTGGAGAAAGCAGCAGTGTTGGGAGTTGTGTCACAAACAGCTTGGTTTGGAGAGATCTGGAGGGAGACAGAAGGACTTGACTGGTTACAGAGTTTTTTATTTTTCCTTCTGTCTTGTCTCATCTCATTCTATTCTTTGAAACAACATATGACAGTGTGAGACAGTGTTGCTTCAAAAAGATAGCTGGTAAAATTAGCTGTGACAGATTAAGAGTAATTGATCGCGCATCTTGCTTTTGTTGATATTTACCTCAACAGCAATTTAGTAAAATTCACATAATGTCAGCTGAACTTAGTTCTAATCAGCATTATATCCTTGGCACTTTAAAGAAAGTAATCCTAAGACTGTAAACAATAGGGAACAACTTTGATCAAATACAAATTTATGTATATGTGTACGCTCTACCATAATGGAAGTACATCCTTTCAGTGTGGTGTCACTCTGGGCCTTGTGATCTTCAATGAGTACCCAGTCATGACTCCTGAGTTTGTTTTTATTTTTTCCCCCAAACTTAGTAAAAAATTTAAGAACGTACAGGTGGGTAGATTTTCTTAGAAAGAAAACAAATATCTTTAGGGGCTATATTTACTTAATAATTAAAGCCATAGAGTTTTTTCAATTGATATTAGTGGGATCAAGAATATTGGTTTTAATTACCAAAGCACAAGTATTGCTTTAATTGTTGCTTAAGTAAAATAGATAAAGATACAGCATTCAGAATTTCAGAGCCAACTAATACAGTTCTGCTACAAAGAAGAATTCTACTCTTATGTGAAGAGGCTCTTCATTTATACACAGACATTGCAGTTGGAAACATTTATTTTAATGCAATATTTTTACATTCTGGTGTTGTTTCAGATACAGCTTTTTATTACAGAATTAAATTCAAATGGCCTCATAATAACTGATAAATTTCTGACTGTTACTTTGTATCCAGAAAAAACTGAGAAAATAGAAAATATAAATATATTGTATTTTTTTTAATCTGTTGCATTGGTTTAATATTTTTTTTTTTATTCAGTTTGGAGTTACTATTCTCTTTCATAGGTCTCCAACCATGGCAGGTGGATTATTTTCTGTGAGCAAGAAGTATTTTGATTATCTTGGTTCCTATGACACAGGAATGGAAGTCTGGGGAGGAGAAAACCTTGAATTCTCATTTAGGGTAGGTGGCTTAATTGAAAGTTTATTTTCCTCAATACAACAAGTTCCTGTTTCTTTCTTCGTGCCCTTTTACTTAATGAGGTAGCTGTAATGTAAGCAAGTGCTAAGAAGGGAGTCTTTTGGAAGGTGTTTATATAAATCTTGTTCTTGCACTTCAGGATAGCTGTAATTCCAAATAGCCATTTTAAAGCAATTCTTGAAAACATGTCTTTGTTTTGAGGTCTAGTATAAAATGTGAAAAGGCTGCAATACTAGTGGGTGAATTTACATCCTGCAGCTTGAAGGAGGTCATTGGGAAGAAGATTTGCAGTGCTTTGATGTGACTCAGAATTCTTGCTGTGGTTGATGGAGTGAGCAGTTCCCAGTGGGATAGGAGAAGGCAGCCCCTATACTAATTTTAAGGCTTTATTCTATTTCACCTCAGAAAAAGTACAAAGGTTATAAAAGGTGGGAGGGAAGATCTCCAGTAACTGTAGAGTTGTACCCCACAGGAGGCATGACCAAGTGCTCAGGTGTGAGTCAGATAACTGTAAGGAAAAGGATTTACGGCAGGAAAAGGGAGGAGACACAGGACATTCCAGACTGATCAGCAAAGCAGTGTTCTCCTCTGCTCAGCTGTCACCAATGCTGTGGCTGATTCCCACTGAGCACTAGCTGCCTACGGTTTGCCTCAAATCACATTTAGCTCATTGAAGCCATCCAGTGGTGATGTAAGAGGGATGCTCTAGGGCTGCTTTTGGCTTTCAAGGAGTTCACAACTTATTATCCTGGATTACCCTTGTCTGCTGTACCCATCATCTGTTATTTTTGATGGTCATGTTTGCATTTCTATGTGTCATTGACTCGTGGTACAGAAGAGTTTTTGGATTTTTTTTACCAGGTGACAACAGATTTCAAGGTTAAATAACGTTTTAATGTTACAAAACCACCTTCTTGAGAAAGGAGACATCAGCAGTCTGTCTCTCTGGATGTCTGTGTGTTAACCAGAGAAGCATGAAGTCTTCCTGGCTGCTGTTCCGCTATTTTGCTGACTGCAGAGCAGAAATTGTAGAAAAGAGAGTATAAAAATAAGGAACAAAAATTATTAGGAATTATAACAAGCACAGGCTTAGAGTTGGTTTGGTTTCTCTCTGGAGGGAGACTTCTCAGCTAGAAACACTGTTTGATCTGAGTTCATGACCACCTCCTTTTTCACCTAGGGAACAGTTTTTGGCACATAAACCCAAACACAGCCTACTCAGTAGCCTTGGTCTAGTTCAACAGGCCTCCACCTGAATCATGAAGCAGGTGACCCACCTCCATCAACCCTGTAATGCTCTGAAGCAGGAGTCTCTGGTTCTGGTGTACCCAGGTCCTCAACTCCTTGAAAAAAAACCTCTAATATGGCACACTTGGCGTACAGTTCTTGGCTTTCTGCTCTTGTATCTTGCTTTTGGGGCACCAAGGCTTGCAGACAGCCTGACCCCTTCCTTCTGATTCAGAGTGCCCCAGTACCAGCTGCCCCACCCTTCCATTGCCACTGACTTCTATGAAGCTCTGTTATCCAGTCTCATTTTTTACATCACTGGTCCCTGAGCTAGGATTCCATGGGGTGCAGCAGTGTATATGAGCATGCAGGACTGTAGTCTCCTCATGGGACAGAGGAAGTATCAGAGGTGGCCTAGCACACAGGAGAAGCACAAAGGGAGCAGCAGAGTCCCCAGGAGAGAGTGCACAAACACTCTGCAAGGGTCTAAGCCAGCATGTAGATGCAGGTGGATCCAGCAACTCCTGGGAGACAAATGATTTAACAGGACAGGCTCTGCAATGGCCAGCAAATATGCCTGGCCATGCCAATTTTCCCAGTGCAGATTGCCAGTAGCATCTGGGTATTTGTACGCAACATGCTTTGCTCTGTTTGATTTGGAGCCCTTGTACTTGTGCTCTGTGTGGAGAGGATTTTTGTGGAACAGAGCAGAGTGGTACGATGTTGTTTAACTCTGTTCTTTTGGCTGCCTGCAGTGTTCCAGGAGGTCGGAAAGGATAAATCATTGTTAGTGTTGTTCTCCTTGTGTTTTCTAAACCTGTCAGACCTGAAAATTAGGAGCAGAACTACTCAAAACCACTGTAAATTAATTTATTGTTGCTCTCATCTCTGAAAACACCACTCTCTCCCAATGACATGAAAAGACTTGTCCTCAAGCCTCCTCTTTCTTGCACTTCGATTATTCTGAGCTGAAGAAATTCTCTGTGGTTTTGAGAGGTGCAACAAGGACAAAGCTTTCACTAAAAGCATGATGACTAAGAGAGATGGAGGCTACGTGCTGAATGCAGAATCGAGTCAATGTACCTTGATTTTGGATTGCTTAATGCTATTTGGCTGGATAAAATTTCACTTCATGGGCATAATGGGCATTGAAACCCTCTTTCTGAGGGATTCAAAACATGCTCTTTCATCTTCTCCCTTTTGTACTCAGAGCAAAGGGAACCTGGTTGCAGCTTCTGTCCCCTTTCTGCTCTGGGTCCCACAAGTGGTGCTGCAATGTAAGTTTGTTTCTGACCAAGGCTTAATATGTCGATGTTCTGTCCTTCAGCCTACCATGTGCCAAAAGGCCTTTCTTCTCAGAAACGTTACTGCCCATGAGCCTGGGGGATACACCTCACAATACCTGCGGTCATTTCCCAGTATTTTGTATTGCTTCTTTTTGTCTGGATCTGGAACTCTGTTTTGATATGAAAGCAGCCAGGGTGAGTTTGTGTGTCTGGGGTGCCTCTCCACCCACCCAGCTTCTGGCAGGCTGTGCATGAGCACCACACTGGGGACTTAGCCACAAGCTGTCAAGAAAAAATTGTGGCAGAGAGAGCAGCAGAAACATTGGGTTTTTCCACATTTTGCCCTTTTTTTAGGATGTAGTATCCTTTCTATGTTTTTTATTTCTTCCAGATAGTCTCAAAACATTAGAATGAGATGGCAAAGCTTTTATTCTTTAGTATTCATTGACCCAGCACAAGGTCAATTGTCCAGAGACCCTGGCAGGGACAGTAATCCCAAGGTGAGATTCTGAACATTTTCTGTAGGTTTTCATAATGCCACCATCTGTCTCTGAAAACAAAAGAAAATATGCCTATAGCCTGCATGCATCAAGATGAAAGTGAAAGTGAAAAAAGGAATGTCACCTTGTTTTCTTTTTGAGGTGGAGGAAAAATGTGTGCTTTTATAATGAGAGCTGTGAGTTATCCAGACCTAGTAAAAAACCAGATCTACATACACATGAGCTTGCAAAATATGCATGAAACCTTATGTGCTTTTCTGTTAGTGAGGGTTGAACTAGTTTTATGGAGAATCTTCTGCAGAGCCACTTAGCATTTAGTAATCAACTTTAGTTTCACTATTAAATTCCTCGCTTTATTTTGTGGCTGTTCATTTGTACCTGATTTTATATAGAGGTCATAATTTTTCCATTAAAATGAAAGGGAATAAACCTTTTGAGGAGTTGTTTAGCTGAAGTATATTCAATTTTCTTTTGTAATAGGATGACAAGATAATTTTTGTACTGTTTTTTTATGAAATACTTAGAATTTAATGAGCATTGCTTAGCAACCTACAGTTATTTTTTAGAGAGCTTTAATTATTAAAAATTCAGCTGTTATGGAATTCTCTTTTTGTCATCAATTTAACAGAGGTATGGTCAGTTTGTTTCATTCCTTTGAAAGCAGACTTTATCATGGAAGAGCTGAAGTATGTGCTTCCTTCTTAACTACATTTTTATTTCAGTGGTCTTTATCATCTGTTCCTAATATCTTATTTAAAGGTAGATAAATAAAGATGAATTAATAATTATTATGTGGAATATAACATTGGACATTTTTAAACTAATAAACTTATGGCTTTTAATATTTGTTGACAAACCTTGAATGGTAAATTGCAGCTTTAAAAAATAATCTTGAACATAGAAATAATAATTATTAAATATACTGGTTTTAAATAAATCTCAAAAAAGGTGGCTGTAAGGTGAAAGTGGGTAGTTGGTTTCATAGCAGCTTTCAAAATGGCTGTAGAGTAAGAAAGAAAATATGCAAATTGTTTAAAAGATCAGTACAGAATTCTAGAATTTTTGTATAATTCTTTGATCATCTTTGTTCAAATGACAAATATACTGCTTTCCTGAAAAGTAGCAAAAAAGGAGAGAAACCTCACATGACAAACAAGAAATTAAAATTTTAAATCCAGAAAGTAATAATTATCCAGTACTCCCTATAGCTGATTAATGAATTACCTGTATCTTTAAAGAAACTCTGTTTTAAAAGTAAACATATGTATTAGAGTGCTTACACTTCAGTAATTAAATACAGTATTGTGCCATGTATAAAGTCTGATGTTGTTATCCAAAATCAAATCAATGGAGATGAAACTCATCGATTTCCAAATGTAGACATTTTAGAGAAATTCTAAGTAAATTAAAAAAAAACCCTAAAAGTTAGCAGTCCACAACCAAGTCCTGTCTTCTGTGAGCTGAAAGCCTTTATCTTTTTAGATCCCTAAAGCTCCCAGAGAGAGAGGCTGGAAAAGTCCCACCACTGATCTTTTGGCAGTTAGCAGCAGAGCTTTTATTTGCTGCCTCATATCTTTCACTCCTGTTGTATTCATTTGAATAGCATGTAATTAAAAATGTATGTCTTATACAAGAAGGTTGTCAGGAAGCAAACCTCTACCCCTTAAGCCTATCCCAGCTAATTTCCTTTGTCTTCCATTTACAAAGGAATGATGAACTGCCACTTATGCATGGTTGAATACATGAGGAGAATTCTAAATCTTTTATGAAAGTCTATTGGAGCCATTGGTGACAGCCTTAAGTTAGTTCAAGTACAGCAATATATCTGGCCTTCCTCCCATCTGGCTAAATTTCAGAAACCTTGTTTCAGGCACCCTTCAGAAACCAGGCATCTGCCATAGTGTGGTCACACACAATATCGAATAGGAAATGCCTAGCTGTGCTTTCCTTTCAAGTAATCAAACTTGAATCAGAATGGGTGATGGAAAAGTGGCTGTGTAGATGAACTGCCAAAACTCCTTGGTTTTCAGAGAATAATGTAATTACAAAAATGTGTACAGAATGCTGAGGCTAATGGATCCACTTGATGGTTGTTTCTGGACTTTACCTCATGGGCTGTACATTTCCCAACCTAGGGAGCCAGAGAAGCAGGAGCATGAGCACAAGGGCAGAGTGACAGTTTGCAGGGATCTGCCAATTCCACATTTGGGTGCAAGTACTTCCTTGGCATCAAGCAGGAATATTGGATTAGATAGGGGAGGTTGTTTCATTGTTGTTGGTTGGACCACCATAAGTTCTAGAAGTACTTTGCTTTTTCTTTTCATGTGTTGGGTCTGGGGTACCTTTCCAAGCTTTCCAATGGAAAAGGTTAGTGGGATTTTATCTCCAGGTACCTATGCCTCCCTTCTAGATTGGTGAATGTACAAATGGGAAGCTTACCTGTGTTGTCCAGTCAGCTTTCCAGTAGAATATATAGATGATATATAGATCTATAGATTTCTGATAAGAATTAGTTATCGAGATAGCTATTTACGTGGTTAATTTGGAAAAGAAACATACTTATTTTTTTCTTTTTTTTTTTTAACAATGCCTGCATAACTTATATGGTAAACCACAACTTATCATGAGAAAATAAAACTAAGAAAGGAATATTGCACTCCAGATAAAATCAGAGAGTGATTATCTCCTTGTGATCTCAGAGCAAATTACTAAGAGCAACAAGGATGTAATTTTATCCAGTTTAGTCATCAAATAAGACACAAAATTATTGTATGTGTTACTTGTAGTATGGTGTGGTATTCTTGAGACAGTGTTATTCTTACACAGGCTTATTGTTACTATATCCTTGAGCTTGCAAAAGACAAAATTAATGATACACACTGTCAATTCTTTGCTCAGATATGGCAGTGTGGAGGAAGTCTTGAGATCCATCCTTGCTCTCATGTAGGTCATGTTTTCCCCAAACAAGCTCCATACTCGCGGGCCAAAGCTTTGGCGAACAGTGTGCGTGCAGCTGAAGTGTGGATGGATGAATATAAACAACTTTATTACCACCGAAACCCACACGCTCGCCTGGTGAGTTCAACTCCATTGTTCCTGGAATTTCAGTAGAATTTGTTTTCAACCTACTAACTAAGCTAATATGTAACATGAAGTGCTTTTTAAGTTTATTTCTTATTCCTTCTGAAACTTTTTCCCAGACATAGAATAAGTGTATAATTTTTAATTCTTTGGAAAAAATTTAAAATTCTGCAAGAGTACAAGATGTCCCAATCTATGTCAACAATAAGTGAATAAATGAAAGAATAATGTGATGTGGAGTAATCAAAGCAAGGAGGAGTTGTTTAGCCTAAAATGTGCACTTCTGTTAAATGGATGATACAGGATTCTCAATAAGAATTCGCAATTAATGAATGCAAATCAATGAGTTTCAGTGGACAGTAGACCTTCAGGTAAACAGCATGGTAATAAAATTGTAAAACTTTGGATTGATGTAAAGCAAAATAGATTTTTCTGTTTGATTTACTGCTGCACCATGTTCAGTTTAAAAAAAACCAAAACAACAAATGGAACCAAAAATTAATATTGAAAAAAATTAAATTAATTAAAATTGGTCATGGCAACTCAGATGAAAATGTTCCTAATAAAATATTTCAAGTATCAGTTCTCTCAGTTTTGGAGGTTCTTTTAAGTTGATGTTTTTATTTTCCTTGAAATGAAAATACAAGATCACTGGTTGCAGAATTTTTCAGGAGATTATTACTGTAAAAATTGAGTATGTCAAAACAGTAAAGCAGTGTGCAAATTCATAACTTGGACATATTAATTGTGAGGGGCCCGAAGGCTGGAAAACAGTAACACTGAACGTTTTCACAGTGTCTAGAAATGAATTAAGTGAACCTCTGTCACAAGGTCTGAAATTCAGGCCCCAAAGAAATAATTGGCTTCTGTTGCTTGCTTCTGGAGATCTCCCCAGCATGATCTCTTTGCATGAAAAGTTTTCTAAACACTGCCTTTTTGGGTTTGTGCCTGGGATGGGCTGCTGGGCATCAGCCTCTGGTGTACTGGATCAGATCTGAGGCAGCAGTGTAGGGCACAGGGAGCCCTCCACTCATTTGAGTGGCTGACCCCAATGGACGCAGCAGGGGAAAACTGCCCTTGAAAACATGAGGCTTTTAAAAGATAAACTGGAGGATGCTGGAGAAGATGAATTTGGTTAGCTTTCATCTTGTGTTTGTTTGGATTAAATTGGGTAATTAGATCATTATAGTCCACACATTTGTAACAATTGGTTTACTTTAATGTCATAAAAGCCATTTAGGTTTTATTATCGCAGTCTGACTTGGAGGGAAATATGGGATTCACCTATAGGCAACACCAGGCTGATTTTAGCTTGTCATACACAAAAAGACCAATAAATGCTTACAATTTTTCTTGTAAAGTGCTGGGCATCTTATATCTGTAATGACAGAGCTTTAACTTTAAAGGATATTTGTGTGTTGGTACTGGGAATGTCATGTATTGGCTTATTGTAACACAGTGGCTATAAGCTGAAACTCATGAGGGTTATTTTTCCCCATTTCAAAGCTGCTGCCAATGAGCTTTGGTTTCCATAATGCTCTGTGCACCACTTGTTGCAGCAGTTGAGTTCAGACCTTTTTACTTCATCAAGCCCAAATATTCAGTTCCATAGCATAACAGGACAATGATTGATGCTATGGCTGCAAAAATTGGTTCCATGAAGTTTCACTTCAAGATTAATGTTCAAACTCCAGAGCTAATATGTCATGCTGTTTGTTTATTCAAACAGGCACCTCTGCCTCAGTTTTACATCTGCTTTGTGTTTTCAGTGGTATTTCCACAGTTTTGAGAACTGCAACTACATTTGTGGTTTGATGAAAGACTGCATCCAGTGACCTGTAAAAATCTGGGGGCTGCAAATTCTCTCTCATGCCTGATTATCTGAAATCCCTAGTCAATATGAAGATAGGTTTTTGAAGACAGACATAAGAAGATGTGGACTCTGCTCCAATCCATAGACACAGAAAAGTCTGCAATGAAAGATTTTCTCTGGAGGTTTAAGATTTCATAGTCCCCACCCCACAAAATGGTGAAGTTCAAAGGATGCATTAGCAGATTTTACAAATTTCATCACTTAAGTGTAAAACTGTACAGGTAATTTTCAAATGGATAGTGGTAAAATTTAAAATCCTAAAAATTCATTCACTGCTTTGGAGATTTTCAATTATCTATCTAAAGGAAGTCTCATTTTCCAATGCGCCTTCCCAGTCTTCAGCAATCTGTATTCAAGGGCTTCCTCACTTGCAGATTCAGGGAGTTTTCTTAGACAAACTGTCTTCCAGAATATTTTAAAGTTTTACTTGCACAGTTCCAATTCTTTTTTGTCAGCATTTAACAAATGTAAGGGTAATGAAATCAAATCCAGCACCCAAACATGGTGATTTTTCCTGGCTAGAAGTCCTACTCATCACTGTAGCATATGGTTCCTAATAATGTATACAGATAATTTAAAAGAAAGCATCTGTTCTGGATTTTTTAAAATATTTTTTTTCTTTCTTTCTTTCCTTTCTTTTTTTTTTTTTTTTTTTTTTTTTTAGGAACCATATGGAGATGTGACAGAAAGGAGACTTCTACGAGAGAAGCTGAAATGTAAGGACTTCAAATGGTTCTTGGAGAACGTGTATCCAGAACTTCACGTACCCGAGGACAGACCAGGATTCTTTGGAATGGTACGTGGCTGCTGAGAAGGAGGCCTACTTGCAGTTCTCTGAGCTCTCCTACTAAGTCAGTGTGAAAGTGTTTGTGTGCCTAAATCAGTCTGGGATTTTGGTAGAATTTAGTTAAAACTGGTAGGCTTTAAAATGTATCAGAATCTTTATTTAAGGGAACGCTGTTTATGACAGGGTTCTGTGACAGAGTAGGAGAACAGGTAATGTTGCTGTGAATTACTCCTTCTAAGTGACATCTTGGGACTGTTAAAGGCAGCAACAGATGAGATTTTTATTTCTTGAAACATTGCATAACAAAACAAAAAAAACAGTAAAGTGTTTTATTTTACTTGTTGAATTGAAAAGAAAAAGAATGTGCTCTGACACATTTGTTCACACATTTTATCTGATGAAAACTATGATGTTCTGATGATGGAAAAGAGAGCTGGTGCTAAGTGCTTCTGGATCATAGGGGATTCTGTATATTAAACCAACATGTTAATTTTTAATCCGGAGATCACTTTAGACCAGCAAGGGCACAGGCAATGAGTTCAATAATATCAGGAGCCTCTTCTCTTTTGAGGCTTGACAGCTCTTTATGCTTTTTGCAGCTTACAAATAAATATATAAACTATAGCTCTGTGTATATTACATTACTGTAATCTCATCTGGAAAGGATGAAGGCAGAGATGATGCAGCAAATAGCTGTTTTCTCTGAAAAATCACCAGATACCTACTGCATGTTAGGAACACAAAACTTCACCTTTCCACCAGGCAAAGATGTATCAAATACCTTCCTAATTACAAAATGCTGCACTGACTTAAAAGTACTTTTGCTGGTAACTCAATCACTCTGCAGATTCAGCTAAGCTGCATTCCCACACTGCATCATCACATCCAGCCATTGTCTTGCTGCCATCTGCCCTTCCCCAAGTCACTCAACCTCTGCTGAATTTCCTTCAGGAAAAGAAGAAAAATCTGATCTCTATGGACATACAAAATATTCAGGAAACAAGTCTCCCCGCAGTCTGCCCTAATAGCTTTGTAACTTATTGAATGAAAAAGATCCTAATGTGGAAATGCCATGGTTTCCCCTGGGGAGCTGTGGGAGTTCCCATGGGGAGGGCAGCAGTTGTCAGAAAAGCCCTTAGGAGCCTCTGGGATAATTGCCACCCTCCTCCATTTGTCTTGGAGCTTGCAGGAGAGGTGGTATCTCTGTGTGATCACTGGCGTGAAAGGTGGTACCCACCATTATCCAGTACCTTGAACAAACCCTGGTACAACACTGGTTCTGTTTTTGCTCTTTTCTGCTGGATTGCTACTGACAAGGTCTGAGACAGTTGAAGCAGTAAGGTATTGTAAAGCTTACCTTCCAGTAGCATTTCAGGAATTTTATCCTTCCCTCCACCTTCATCCTGCTCCCTCCAAAATAAAGGGTTAGACTGCTGCCAGTGATAGTGAAGAGAAGGGATTTGTGCAGTTTCTTTTATAATTTAATTGCCATCTTCAGGCAAGGAGCTGAGAGTACCTAGAAATAACTCGTTCAGAGCTGCTTGAAGTATCTAAAGTGTAATTTAGGTGTGCTCTATATATTTCTCTACAAACAATTCATAAATGCTGTCATCTAGTTGTGAGCATAATGAGAAGACACCATTTTTGGGGGGGAGGAAGAATTTTAAATGTGATGGAAATATGGTTGTACTCTGAGAAATTGAGAGTACAGAAACGACACCTACTGATTCAGCTGATTTGTGGATATTGAGTCCCATCTGCTAGCTTCAATGAATCACTGATGGTGTTCTTTACTCCCGCCTCAGCTGTGTAGGGCTTTTCTGGTTCACAAAAATACTGTATTTAAAAGTGTCAGCTTTGATAACAGCTCAGCTTAGTTAGAGGTTATTTAATTGTTCAAAGAGAATACAAGGGAATATGGAGATTTTTATCTCCCTGAAAAATCTTTTTACTTTTATACTGAAGTTGAAAATATTTCTAAGATTACCTATAAGTCAGCCATGTATTATTCAAATGGAGTAAAGAATTATTGAGCAGCATTCAGTGCTGTGCACTGACAAGCAGCTTCTTACACTACATTTTTTTTCTTGATACATAGATAAAAATATCCATACTACCCTTGCTAATCTAAAAAGTTAGCTGACTCAAACTTTACTTAAACATACTGAATTATGAATCTTTTTGCCTGAGATATGATTGCATTCCTGCAAACTGCCTGAGACCTATAAAAGAGAGAAATATCTTCTTGCTTCTCCTTGGGCTTCTTTGGAAGCAGCTTTGGAACTTTGTGGGACATGAGCCTTCTGACTTGAGTAATTTATTTGTGGGGCAGGAGGAAGTGAAGCTAAAAGGCACTCAGCGGGTTAAAATAATATGATGTCAGCACTTCTGGAAAGGCTGATAATACCTTTTAGGTTTTTGTGTAACACACTGATGTCTCTTTTTCTGGCACAGACTCTGATTTGGCTATCCTTGAGCATGCACTTATGACAGAGTACCTACTAGTAAGTAGGTGTGAAATTGTAACGAGACTTGAGCCCCAGAGCTCCGCACAGGTTGCCCACCTAGACAGCAGAGATTCGGTCAGCTTACAAATCCTCACTGCCATGGAAAGGGATGGTGTGGGCGTCTGCAGGAAGAGCTTTGAGCCAGCTAGTGCTCAGTATTAGTGTGGTGACATTGCTGCATTCTGCAGCCAGATGAAAATAGAGGGGTTGTGTGATCTTTCCATGTTATCAGTGACTGTGGAAAGGCAGAGTTGCAAAACAAGGGAGTAGTCAGGGCTCTTCTCTCTTCTGAGGTACGTATTAAGTATGTCTGGCATTGAGGTGCATATCTCATGATAAAAATTATGGTGAGTCAGTGAATTTGTCTTTAAATTTGACATCAAGATTGCTTTTAAAAAACAGTGATGACACAAAAATCAGGATTTTACTCTAATTTTCTGTAAGTTTGATCACTTGGCGGTGAGACCGTACGTGGCAAGCACATTTCTCTCCCTCTCAGGATTTTTCATAGAGGTGCACAGAGAGAAATGAAAGAGAAAACAATTTCTATTTCTGCTAGTTGTTTTTTCCTATGTGGAATGTGTTTGGAGAATTGTTTACCCAGATTGAGTGCTTGATTGGATTCTGGTGAGGATTGCTTGAGCCTGATGGCCAATCCAATCCACCTGTCTGGACTCTCGAGAGAGGGTCATGAGTTGTGTTAGAGTCAGAGAAAGTAGTATGTAGTTTTAGTATCTTCCTTTTATATAGTATATTGATGTATTTTGGCATAGTTATAATAAAGAAATAATTCAGCCTTCTGAATCGAGTCAGACATTGTCATTTCTTTCCATTGGGTTCGCCTGCATTTACAATAACCACACTATGTTCTGACATGATAACTTTTTCTTTGTTCGTCTCAGTTTCTAGCTGATTCTTCTTTCAGCTGAATATAAAACAACTTAGCTGATAGATGTCTTTTGTTGTGACTTTCTATCTGGTCTCTCTTTCTGCCTTCTGTCTGTAATGGTGTTTGTCACTGACTGAGTCAGTTGGGAAATCAAAAATTTGCATTTTTCTTTTGACACCTTCCTTCCCCATTTTCCTCCAAGTCGATCTCATCTTCATTTTCAAGTGCTCAGTCATAATTTTCTTTTAATTTAGACTAGGCATAATTTTGAAAAAAAAATGGAAGGAAGATTTTAAACTATGCCTTTAAAACTATTAAGAATTTTGTTTTGCTGCAACATGAAAGAGACCATTATTTAAATTATCTAAAGAACACATTATATATATGGACAGGTTTGCAGAAGAAGAGAGCTATGGGGTTTAAGTTATGTAATCAAAGATTATTGTATGTCTCGTGCTTCAAGTTCTCAGAGGTGTCAGGGTCCCTTCTCTAGGGTATACCTCTAAAACTGCATTATAAACCAATTGGTAGGACTGCCACTTGAGGTTCAACTTTGTAGCCAGCTTTAGGACTGACTAGACCTAGAGACCTTATGCCCATCACAGGAAAATATGCACCACTTTGGTTGGCTGTACAGCCTCTGAAAGGTAGGGAGAGGCTTTTTAAAAGGAAGTGGAAGAAATTAAAGTGTTTGGTAGTGAACACACCATTGCCTGAACCCACATGCTTGTATTTTTTTAAACTTCCCAGGGAGATTTGGTCTTGCTGGGGTGAGCCAATGAATCTAAGAAAGGTGTGTCACCTTCCGTCAGAGGGTTTTAGTCATCAGTGTTGTATGCCCTTTTCAGTATTGCCCTTAAGAAGCTAACAGGTGATATGAAAATGGCATTCACTCAGTAGAATAATTCCCTGTGACTGCTTTTATTACTTTTGAGGTAAAAGCTGATGTTTGATCAGTACTAGTGAAGCTGTTTGGCTTGCTGCAAATTCATATCTTACTGCTTCCCACAGTATCATCTGTCCATATCACTAATAGATCAGCACCACTGCCACTGGCAGAATAAAGAGGATTCTGATCTATTTTGTGGATGTAGAGAGAGTTTGCCAGTGCTCCACTGGCCATACTTATCAACTAACGTAATGAAGTTTTAATGCCAAAAATCTGTTATTGATTGTTTGTTTACAACGGACTTCATCAAATCTAAGGATTGTTAATAGAATGCCATCTGTATTGTGTAGTTATATGCAAGTGTCCAGATATTAGGAAACAATAGATTTAAATATAAGGGTAAGGTCTGTGGTGAATATCTTGGTAGCTGGTGTTTATTGCCTATCTCAGCCTCCAAACAATAGTAACTAAATGGCACGTACAGTGACACCAGCAATGTTTCAATAGTAGGCAAATGCTGTAAAAAAACACTGCCAATTGTCCTGCATGGGTACATTGTTTTTAGAGCTGAACGATTCGTTTCAATGGCAAGGTGATCAACATTTTTTCTTGCTTCTGTTTCTCTAATGCAGCATTCTGCAAAAGAACTAAGGTAAGTCACAGAGAAAATTTTGTTCTTGTTGCATGGCTTGTTTATGGTGGATGAGGGAATAAACATAGCTTCAGAAATGAGTGGATGATCACTGTTTTGATAGAGCTCTTGCACTCTTGCACATAAAAGTACTTAAACTGTATATTCTCATTTAACAAGAGAAAAATATTTCACAAATTCTCTCATACTTTTTTTTTTTTTTGCCTTGGAATAGAGGGTAGGTTTATGGTTTTTTTATTGTTGTTTTTTGGGGTTTTTTTTAATAAATGGTGCTGCAGTCAGATTTTCAAAATTTTCTGTGTCATTTCAGATCTAGTAATTTAAAAGCTTAGAATATACTATTCCCACTAATTAGGTCTTGAATACCTGTTGGGCTTCCTGATGAAGTATGGGCATATCTACCAATGTCTGACAAAATAAAAGAACCAGGTGAACCATATGGACCATGTACGTATAGGAAGATGTCGGCATGTGTCACAAGCATTTGTTCATGAAAGAGAAAAAGGAGAAAACCTATATGGTAATATCCTGGAGCACAGCCTCATTTTCAAACCATCTGAAATGAAGCCAAAGTTTAGTAAGCTTTTACACATCTTTTTGCTATGTGTATTTGGGCATTGAGTAACATGCATACGAGAGTTACTGTAGTTCTGGTGGTGCAGGGCATTTTCAAACAGATTGTTTAAAATTTCCCAAAAGGGAGCTCACACTTGAGCATTCTGCCAGGGCCTGATGACAAAGATCACTAGTGAAGTCACCGGGTTGCCTGGAAGGGTACCATGGATAAGGGTTTGCTGCCCTTGGAGCCAGTAGACAGTCAGGCAGAGTCATATGTTATTAAACCTACTAATGGGAGACCCTCTGGTCCTGAAGACAGCTGATGACAACAGCAATTGTAGAGATAAAATTACCATTTTAAGTGGTTATGACTTTTAAGTTGATATTTCCTGATGTAGAATGTAGAAACATGAGAAGCTTATTTGGTTTATGTAGTTCCGTGGCAGTGTTAAAAATAGTCTGTGTGAGACACTTCTCTTTCCTGTTTTTCTAAGTGTAAGTCTTGGCTCCTATTAGGAAGGTAAACAAAATATTTTCTTTTGACTGTTCAAGAAAGGTTGCAGTGGTCTAATGTGGGAGTGAGCACAAAGCAGTGGAAAGAAAGTGTTGGGTAGCACTAAAAGTAAGAGCTGGCAAAGCAAACATATGTAGAACACATTTAATTTTCCAGCTTGTGTGGTTTGCTCTGTGGTGGGTTTAGGCCCTGCAGGGTTTGTCTTGTTTGTTTAGTTGTAGCCGCCTGCAATCCCTATGTGTCCACTCATTTTCCACATTAAGAACTCAGGATATGATTACCATGACTAGGGAAGAGCAGTGAAATTACACCTTGCTGAACTAACTCTTCTGAGACTTACTCTGCGTATTGTTTTTGTCTGTGACATAATTACACTCAGTACCAGGGGCATTCAGCTTCTTGTTTACAGAACCTATTCTGCTCTGTGTGTTTTCAAATTTGGTTATGTGGCTAATACCAGGAATCAGTGGTTATGTGATTATTTAAATTTTTTTTTCAGTTACTTTTGCCTCCTGAATACTATATACAAATCCTTGTTAACTAGCCTATTTTAAAAATTAGTTAACTTAATATTTTAAATTTTATCTAGAAGTTATGCACCTCTTCTGTCAGAGATCAGCAACATGAGTAAAAAGCATTTAATATCACACCTATGTCTCTTTCCAAAGATATATTTTGCCCACTTTCAAGATTCCTGATCCTAAAATCTGTCTGCTTGTTCTGCCTCAAGAGGGTACTGGAGTCCTTTTGAGAACAAATTCTCTTAACATTTCCCATTTGACAAACTGAGAAAAGTATGTAGTCATCTTTTCATAAGAAAAGACTGAACAAGTAGATCCTGGGGGGAAAAGACATGGCAGACTCTTTTGTTCTTCATGAGTTGCTGGCTTGTTGGGTTTCAACACACTTTTTCATAGTTTCTACCCACTTCCTTTGCAAATACATTGGAACACAGTGTCATTCCTAGGGGAAGCCATCATGTCTGGCTGCTTCAATGCTCAAAGGCAAGATGGTCCAGTTTTATTTGATATTAGTCTGAGAGATGTTACCATTGCATCCCTTTGATCTATTCCAGTTGCTTTGCACTAGCTTTGGAATGGATCTCAGAGCCCAGAAGGATGGGTGTAGAGAGACTACAGAATATGTTCCTTACTTTAGACTAATATTTTAAAATATTCTTTTGTTTTGTTTAGCTGAAGAATAGAGGAATGGAAAACTTCTGCTTTGATTATAACCCTACAAATGAACATCAAATAACTGGACAGAGGGTCATACTCTACCCATGCCATGGCATGGGACAAAATCAGGTAAGAATAATGTTTTATTTTCATTTTCACTAACACTTAGGGTTGTAATGTAAGGAAGTATGGTAAAGTCATTGCAATAGGGTTTAGAGAATGTGTTGCCACAGTAAGGTGATCTTAGTTCGAGTTTTGATTTTTGCACTAAATGCTTTTTATTTTGATGTATCTTCAGATCAGATTTTCTTCATTCTGAGGATGTGTCTACCCAGCCCATACCTTTATTCCTTTCCACAGAGGTCATTAGCAGTGGGTAATAGCACATCAGTGCAGCTACAGTGCTCATAGGCCAGTGTTCACTCATCTCCAAAACCCCTCTCAGCTTTTGTCTGTCCATGCCTCAAAAGCCCTTAATCTTAATAACACTGGAAACCTCACCTAGTTCCACCTGAGTCTGTCATCAAGTCTCTTCCTCATGGTGCTTGTCTAACTACCCAAGAGGTTTTAGACCACATGTCTAAAACATGTGCTTCTACAGAAATGTCCTCCTTGCTTGGGCTTCACGTTCCAGGAGAACATGGGTTCTCTTTAACACTGTCATTCTTGCTGTCTTGTTTTTAACTTCTGAGGCTGAAAATGCTGTTTTCTTACTCCATGTTGACTGAAACTGTGTGCAGCAATTGTTAGTTTTGATACCTATAAGCTTCTCTGCATAATGCCATGGTAAAAGTGTTGTGGGGCACTGTGTACTAAGCTAGAATGGCTGTTTTTGCATAGTTTTGAGTGATCATCTTCCACTGAAGTTTGATGTTTGATGACCATTGAAGTTTGATGTTTGATGTGGGGCATGTACTTGCCTGTCTGTCTTGATTTTTGGCTTCTAACTCAGATTAGACTAAACACAGTACTTGAGATATGGTCTCATCAGTGCTGAATACCAAAGGTCTTGTGAGACCTCTTGTACATAACCCTGTGACAGCTTGGGTGGCTTGCCTGTTTAGGTCCTTTTTTAATGAAATGAATCCAAACATTCAGTTAGTATTGTTTGGGAAAAGGGAAAACAAAGTTTGGAAAGAAAGCAGAGATGTTGCAATTAAGCAGCCAATATCTGCTATCATTCTGAACTCTGCTTTAAAAAAAACATAAAAGCACTATGAGTGTAAAACGAGTCTGTATTAAGGAGGAAGCTTCTAATATGGATTGCACTTTACATATGAAAGGGGAAAGAAAAAGCAATGTACCTCAGATCTTAAAAGAAAATAGATTTGTTTCTGATAACAAGTTTATTATTTGCCTTAGGTATTATAACTATTATTTAGTATTATTTATTAGCTCATGTCTGGTTTATGTCTTAAGTTTCATAATATTTCTGTCCTTAAGGCCAAGATGCAGGGGAAGACGGGGGAGAATCTTGCACCATAAAAGCAAAAGGATCTCAATACTGGCAGATGTATGCCAATTATGCTAAGCCCCACCTCACCCCTTTTACTCCCTCAGTTCAGATTCTTGCCCAAGTTCAGAACACTTCTATAGATCTATAGAGAAGTTAGTAATCACATAACCCAGTCAAGTCACTTTCTTATAAGTAATATTGATTGCTTTTGTAGATTAAGAAACATTTAATGTATAGGATTACATGCTAACATGCCAAAGGTATTTATAGATTTTTTTTTTTCTTTGAATTGCAGATTACAGAGAGGAGAGGGGTTGCATTTTTATTTTGCATTTCTCTGAACAAAAAGAGTTAGCTTAAATTTTATCCCTTCTCCCAAGGAAGAATAAAGAAATAAGATAAAAGGTGAAAGCAGAAGTACAATTCAGAGAGAATTGTCATTAGATGACATTTTTACAGTTATCCTTTGTTTAGCTAGCACTAAGAGATTAACTGAATTTACTGCAAGATATCAAATCACCGGGTATTAATGCTCTTCCATCTCTGCTGATGCGCGGTGCATCCGTGTACCTGCGGTAGCTGGCACTGGCTGAAAGCAGCGACACTCTGGGAACTGTGCAAACCGCTCCCTCTGCTGGCATCCAAGCAGCAGGAGGAAGGAGAAATGGAAAAACCACCTGACTGCAATATAAACCAATAGAGGAAAATAAGAGATTACTCAAGAGAACTGCAGAGCCTGAAGAGGGAAGGCCAAACACAGGAAATGGATAAAACAAGATTAGTGAAATTAGGCATGGGAGGGCTGGCAGGAGTCAGGGAGAAAGGGCCAAGGTGACAAAGTAGTTTGTGACAGAGGTTGAACAACAGGTGATAGGCAGGGCATGTGTGATAAAGGAAAGAGTAGGGCAGGGACTGAACCAAGCAGAGTCTTTGGAGAACATTTTAGTGGAAAGGTGCAGCGTTACTGAATGTGGGAGCTGAGATACCAGCTGGCAAAGCGGGGTGTGAGTAGGGTGATAGGCAGTTGAAAGAGAACAAGTGGACAGCAGGAAGAGTTGTGGGTGGGGGACCAGAGGAAGACTAAAATAAGACAAGATGTAGAAACACAAGTGAGGTGGGAAATGAAGTTGGGGTTGCTGGACTTGTAGCTCCCTTTTCTGCCTCACAAATAGCTGTGAAACCTACCAGCAGGACATTTCTCTCCATTTCTTTCCCATCCCACCACCTTCTTGGCAGTCAGTCTGAAAAGGTAGCAGGCTGTTCCTTGCAGTATGAATTCTTTGGCAGGTGACGCTGCCAGGATCAAAACAGTCAAATCTTCCACATTTACATCCATCGCTGTCTGCTGGAGAAATGATCATGGCAAAGTTTGGTCATCCTCTAGTATCAACAACCCTGGAGTCTCAGAGATGTTTACTGACAGCAGGCAGCCTTTGACTTCTCTTTGGCCCCTTGGAAGGGAATCCACCATTCTAATCCCAAACTCTTCCTGCCTTTTTTCTGTGAGTTTGTTCACATCACTCCACTCATTACCTATATAGAGTTTTAGCAGCAAGCCCTCATTCCAAGCTTTGCTCCTGTTTCCTGTCTCACACCACAGGCAGGTGGCTGTTTATGTAGGGGACAACTGCACAACTTTTTTCACTGACAGCAAGTCTCCACTTAGTGGCCTCTGAATATCTGTGTGCACTGTGCCGAGAGGCAAGAGCACTGTGCTCTTGGTTATTTATAAGGTCCAGCACCAGCTCCTCTTTTACGTCTCAGTGAATAAAACCACTCTCAGAAAACTAAAGTTCCTGGTAGTTTGTTGGTGTTCTTTCTTGAATCCACAGTCTGATTGAGAGGGTTTCTTTTACTCCTTTTGTATGAGTATAAGAAAACTAACTGGAGGCTTTTTTTTTTTTTTTTAAATTTGCATGTTCCTTGTCACAAGAAAGTGAGGATAACACTGCAGTGTTAAGAGTTGAGTGTATATGGAAGAGAGGCAGGAAATACACAAAACACTGGCTACTGATCTCTTGTACCTCAGGCTGCTTATGTTTTGTGGCAGTATCTTCCCCACAGAGGAGAACGGCTTTGAAACTCCACACCAGTAAAGCCCTTTGCCCTTCTGGATATGGCTGGGAAGCAGTACAGAGGACATCAATGTGTGATGGCAAGAAATCAACCTGATGTGATAAGAGGATGGGAATACACTGACTAAAGTGTTCTTCCCAGAATTCCCATTTAGAGCTAATACATTTGACATAAACAGTGAGATGGAAACAATGAAGTTAGCAAAGCCCTTGGGTTTTCAGCAAAAATAGAGAATCAGACCTGGTAACCTCTCTGCTGGTTCTACCCATCAAGTGAAAACTTTTTCCTGTATGCAAAACAACAGTAGCCAGGCACAGAGAAGAATGAGAGTGTGTTTCAGGGTCCAGTGAGGTAGCCAAAATCTGCTGCTGGACCTAGTACCAGAGAGACAATGATGCAGCTGGGGCATATTCTGTTGATTGTCCAGAGGCCAGAGACACTGGGTAAAAGGCCTCATCAAGTTTGCCAGTAGCACTTAAGTGAATCTACTGATTCTCAGAAGAAAAGAAATGCAGTAAAGCTACTAGTTATTGGGCCATGGATTAGTTTGAAAATGCTTCATTTCTGCTGACAGAATGCAAGAAAAGGGAACTAAGAAACACTTTACCTTTTGAGGAGGAAGATATTTATTTCCTGTATTACTAGAGCTTGGAAAAGATTAAGCCTGAATATTTATTCAGTTTGAAGCAGTGTAGTGTAATGAACTGATTATGTCAATTGGGCAAGAAGGCGGGAGTGCTTAGTTGTCAGTACTATAACCCCATCCCTTAAAGTTATCGAAAAATTGCTCATTTTTGGAATCTGGTGCAAGTCCTTGAGAGACCATTCAGGAAAGATATCAGTAGTAAGAAGTGCTCTGATCTAGTGGCTGCTTCATTTATTCTTGACACATCTGGTACAGTCAGCAGCTTGCAGGCTTTCACTTATAGTACAAATTGCTAAGGAGTTATTATATCTAATAAATCCCCTAACGAGCAAGGCTCTAAATATGGTTTTGTGAAAGTGGCAGCTGTAAAAAGTGTCCATCCACACACAACTGGGCAGAACTGAGGCTTTTTCTTTATTCACAAGCCATAGGATTAAAATGCATGTTCTTGTAGCTCACTGTGGTGCCCAAAGTAGTGGGTTTTCCATGTGTTAATCAGATACTGAATCTGGGAATAAAGCCAAAAGGCCAGGGACTAGCTGCTGCCTGTTAGGGTAAATAATAATAATAGGACCAATTCTCACACAATTTACTTTTGTTATGATGAGAGTTTTTTTGCATAAGGCAAATATAAAGGTAGTGCAACCTACATTGTAGGAACAGATCTTAGCAATAGGTTTCCAGGGAAAATCATGGTCTCCGGGGTCATATGTCAGCAGGGAGACTTCAAACCTGGTGTTGCTTCCTCAAAACACTAATTTCCCTTTGTGGCTTACCACAAATGAATGGTGGCAAACAGGTGAATTCTGGGGGGGCAGGGTGGGAGGGGGTCAGTCACTTGCATCATTGCAAAAAAGCCATGAGGCTCCACAGGGTGATGCAGTGGGCAGCATTGGTCAGTGTATAGCTGGGATGGCCACCTTGACAGAGAAATTCCTGTGATAACAGGAGGGGCAGATTTCATATAACAACTATTATCAGTGTAGTCTAGATCAGAGCTCTTTCACTTGGAAATGGATGGCTGCAGATTTCGCAATAGCACAGTCCTGTTTATACTGAAACTCCATTTCCAACTCCTCATCAAGGTTATTAGCCCTGGTTTTTGTGGTAAGTTCTAGTATGTACATTTCTGAATTGGTACAAGCCCCTTCACAAAGTCTCCAGGGGGGAAAAAAAACAAAAGAGGATTCCTTCTCTCCCTCATCCTTTTATTGGTCTCTGCTAATGCAGCTGTTCTATGGGTAATAAGCAATTTTCTGATGTTTATAAAACTCTCCTCTACTTTATTGAGTATAATCTAAATCAGATCTAAACACACATCCGTGCACTATAGTCTTCTAAATTATTTATAAGCTTACTAAATGCAAACAACTCTCCAACTCTGCCACTCTTTAATGAAGTCCAAAAGTTGGCAAATGTCCATGATAAATATAAAATTTTAAGGAAGTCTTCAACCATAACTGCTACAGAAGCCAGGAGTTTCAGAGCACGTTTATAACACTTACGTAGAATATCGTGCAACAAGCAAAGATAGTCAACTGTCTTTAAGAAAGTTGTTTTCATTTTTAAAAGCAGCTGTACCTATTTTGATTCAAATAATATCTTACAACTTTATAGAATAAAATGCTTGTCACCATGCATCCTTAGTACCGGAAATGATCATTATAACTGGACCAAACTGCATTTGAACTATGCAGGGAGGAACTCCTTAGTTAAAAGTAATATTACTTTGTGATGACTGAATTAAGAAGGCATAATGTCAGGCCAGAAACTGTATGCCATCTTATTTTTAAGAGGGGCCTAGAATGTGAAACTTAAATATTGCAGCTTAATTTCAGAAATTCTTTAATGCTAGAATGCCTGTTTTCCAGGACATTTAAGTGCTACAAGATTAAAGCAGTGCTGTGATGAGATTGATTTTCTGTAAAATAGTAAGCAGAAGAAGGACCCTTGAATATTTCTGGCAGAATTTCCCTTCACAGCAGCAACTTTTATTTGTGAGCCTAATTATAGTCTCTTAGTATACGCTTCTTTATAAATACTCTCTGTGTACAAATGAATTGACTGCTGTCCTTTGTTTCTTCTCTTGGGTTTGTAGTTTTTTGAGTACACATCCCATAATGAAATTCGTTACAACACACGACAACCAGAAGTCTGCGCAGCAGTCGATTCAGGGACTGACTACTTGACGATGTACTTGTGTCAAGAAAATGCCCACAGTGTTCCTGAAAACCAGAAGTTTATTTTCAGAGAGGTAAGTATGCCTGCTTGTGCAGACCACAACACTGGCACAGGTGTCTTGGATAAATAGGCTGTCTTGGCTTCTAATATCTGAGCACAGAAACAGGGTAGCAGACAAAGAGTATTCCAGTCATAAAGAACAGGAAGATGAGAGCAAGCAAAGCACCCTTGTTACCATCGAGGAGGTTGGGAACATTCTCTCTTGCATGTCACCCCTACTGTCTTCTCATGAGATTGAGGTGCTTCAATATAACCCTTCCCCAGCCAGTCATATGGCTGGCCTACTTCTGCTCTCTTTTCATGGACTTATTTCCTAGTATTTATATTACCATATATCCCCAATACTTCACACAACACCATTACTTAGTGTTCTTTCCTGCTTTTAAGCAGCTGCCTCTACATGCTATTAGAAAAGCTTGTGTTTAGTAGTTTTGAATCTGTAAAGAAACTTCTGGATGCCTGAGAGAAAATAAGCTGGATGAAAAATGATGGCCTTGATCAGGTTCTGGAGTGTTGTTATTTGGCTAAAGGAAAAGGTCACATAATATATCAAAATGGTATATTTACATAATGTGTCTGCATAATGCATCTAATCTCTACAGGCTCCATGGCTGACAAATGTCACACTTCGATACTACCACCAGTGATAGGTAGCAGGGTAATCGCTAAAAAAATAAGATGGCTGTTACTGTCCGCTCCCTAAATCTGGTTCAGACTGAAGCTCATAGTGACATTACTAAATAAAAGTGTTTAAAAAGTTGACCTTATAAATGATGCTCAGTCATAAACATTAATCCCTAAGATGACATATATTGAAGGATCTTCAGTTACCTCAAGAAGTAATCAAGAAAACTGAAATTTTCAAATTGAGAAAATGAAAAAATTGAAAAAGTTATGGAATGCATTTGTTTCCACTGTATTTCTAACCATTAATTTTAGCATTGAGACTTCAGGAATTACTTTAAATGTTCTTTCTCATGATCACTTTGTGCCTGTGTGTGATTTGAATGTACTGCTCTGCTCCAATTCCTTTTCTGCTACTGCACTAAATCAAAACCACCGGTCTCCACCTTGCAAGGCGAGTGATGGGTGAGGTGTCAGCACCACATTTCTTTTACTTTGTGCATAGTAGTGTCAGACAACTGTCCTTATGGATGGAGCATAATCAAAGATTTGAACAGCCTTCCCAGCAGCTTGGCAAAAATTGCGTTCTTGCAAACAGAGTCAAAAATGAGAGAGATGGATACTGATTAATCCACTCTAAAATTTGAATTATAGTGATGGAAGCAAGAAAGTAATTCTGCAGCTGAATCTGTCAGCAAGTCTCTAACAAGCACATACTGCTGGGCATCAGGTGCTGCAGCTCAGGATGCAATTAAGTGCAACATTCCTGATGAGGGAAGGAACAGGCTTCCACAGGAGGCAGGGCTATGGACAGAAACAAGGTGTTGGCATTTTGCTTTCAAAACTGCCAGCAGCCTTGAGAATGCTTGCATGTGGGAGTGTCACCCAGGCCAAGGGGATGGCCTCAGAGCAGGGCAGTCCTCCATGGCTGGCTATGCTTCCCTTTTGCAGCTCACTGTCCTAGCTGACAGTGCTCCTGGATTGGAACGAGACACTTGAACTGGAGTAAACATAAATAAAGGTCCTGAGGTCTCAAAATTTGTTCTTTAGGGAATTTGACTGTGGAGGTCTGTCAGACCTTACACCTCTGAGGGAGCTGTACTGCCTTTCAGCAAAGCAAGTGAACGCCACACACATCAGCAGGCAAGGGGCACACTTAGATATTTTTACTTTTTCCACCAAAAATACGAAGTGACAGGAAAATTTCTTGCTAAAATATTTCCAACGTTTATGCTTAATGAACAATATTTACCTTTTACTTATGAGATATGCAATAAATTGATACATTTGGGTAATGCTTGTGCTTGGCTTAGTTCTTTTCTGCCATACTCTGGTCCAGTAAAAAAAGGCAATGAAAGCACATGTTAGCACATCCTTTACAGGCTGAGATGCTACTTCATGAGTCACTCTAAACAATGCTGATGTCAGTTTATGTAAGTTTAAAAGCAGGATCTTTTGATAAATTTTCAGACATCCTCAAGTTGGGCTTTACTGCACAACCTCATTGGAAGGATATGTGAAATATTTATTCAAAACGAATGTTTTATGTTACTTTAAAACACAGTGATATGTCTGCAATTTTTGAGACCTGAAAAGCTAACTTTATTTCTGTCTTTTGTAGGATGGTGCCTTGTTTCACCCACAAACCCAGAAGTGCATACAAGCTGAGGCAAATGCTTACAATGGAAACCCAGCACCATTGTTACGGCCTTGTAGCAACTCGGACTACCAAAAATGGTTCTTCAAAGAAAGAAGTTGATCCAGATGTTGTCTAGGATATAGCTGAATACAAAAAAAAGTGCTCTTTCTAGTCAGCAGTTAGTCAACCTTTTGAAAATCTCGTAAGTGATATATTTTTGTATGGAAAGAACTGCAATTAGTTGACAAGCCTTGGATCTCGTTTCCTGGAGCTTTAGAAGGCACTAAGTATTGAGAGCTTCATAAAGTGCCACAGAATCTGCTCCTTTTTATTTGGCAGCTACATAACTGCTTCTGAAATGTCTTAGGTTCTTTACGCAAGTGACATTTTTTTAATCTACTGTGTGGAAGTAAGGCAGTCAAAAAAATCACACTAATGTTAATCTGCCAATAACTTAAAATGTTTATTTTTCTACTAAAACATTCTGCAGTTGGGTCTTTTAACAGATAGTAGTTAATAATTATTCTTGTCTTTTAAATACCAAGAAGGTAAATGTAGGCCATATTCTGCCCTAAGTGACTACCACAAAGCCCTCACTGAAGACAGTGTGGATTTACACATAAAGGCAGAGTATGTCTGCATGTTTTTGCACAAATAACAATCTAGATGCATACAAATTGCACATGCTTGACAATACTGTGCCTTAAATGGTCTGACAATTTTAGATGTTCATGGCACTTGACAAGTTTCTAATCATGCTTAAGATTGGTTTGGGAGTAAAATGGAGATTTTCTCATCTTTCTTAAAGGCAGAAGGCAACAATATTTAAAGGTGATGCTTTAGGAAAAGCTATTTAGGTTCAATATGGGCCCCAGCTATGTGGCTGTGTCCTAGAATGCACAACCAACTTTAACATTATGTAGATTTTCAATGTGCATAAATCTTTCAAGATAAGACCTACCAATAATTATTTTGTAAAAATTTCAAAATTACAGTTAGAGAAAATGAACTTTGAAATTTAAATGTTTAAATGATTAATGTAAAAACTATTATATCTTAAAAATGGTTTTGCAACTGACTACTGTGAAATTCAGCTAATATTAATAGAAAAAATATTGTCTTTGGAGTATAACTTGCATTTTTTTCTGGGAGCTCCTTTTAGATGAGTTAACCCTACATGTGGTCTTGTTGAACACAGGGGGTGTAATCTACAGCAGTACAGGATAGTTTGTGTCCTGGTGTGTGGGATCTGCCTTGCCAAATCGGATGAGGAGTGTGTGTATAGCAATGTACATGGCCACTGACCATCAGCATCACCATGTTGATTAGAAGGGTTTCAGCTCATAAGAAGAGTTTCTTTCCCTGTCAGATGAAGGAATGCTTATGTGTAGAAGGATGAAAACATCAACCTTTTTCCCCCCAGAAGTCTGGGCATCTGTTTTGATTAGTTTGGTGTGTGTTTTGTTATTTGCTTTTATTCATGTTTTCTATTAAAAATGTACAGCCTTTCCTTTGAGTCCCCATAAGCTCATGCCATTTTTGGCATACCTATTTATATGATTGGGGGGTGTGTGTGTGTGGGGGGGGTTTCTGCCTGTAGGAGATACATATATGGGTTCTTATAAATCTTTCTTACCCATGTAGATAGAATGTTTTTGTGAGCACCTTTGAAGTTTTGTCTCTGTGGGCTGGACTGATGAAACTGATGTTAGAATTAATAAAATATTTTGTGATTCAGTAGAATGGGAAATGTCTTATCAACTTTTTTTTTAATCTTGTGGTCAGTCGTTTTCATTTAATAATTTTTCTGATCTCTTAGGCCCAGATCCCTACAGCACTTGGGAGAAGACAGCTTTATTTTATGGTGTCTCAAGTTCTGTTTCCTGAACTCAGTAATGCTTCTGTTTCTGCTTCTGGTAGCAGCAATGGTTTATATTTTGTGGAGCCACAAATCAAAAGTGAGTGACTGCATGAGAGAACAGCAAGGATTTTCTATTAATTTCTGCTTTGCCTTCTTGACTGCTGATTGAACAATGTTAGTAACTGATAAAAGCCCAGCTACTAGAATCACAGCCAAAGCTCCCACTGTCCTCCATTCTCAGTTAGGTTTTCTTAGTCTTGGTATTTCAAGATTTCATCATCAGATGGTGGTATGCAAGTGAAACTTAGTAAGTGGAAATTATTTTCTATACATCTTTTTCACTTTGCCCTTGTTTAGAGAGAAGTATGGATGTTTGTGACTTCCTGCAGCTAAGATGTTTTCATATATGCCAGCAAACCTGCCAGCCTGGCTTGCATATTTGCTAGACAAACACACTTGAGTTCAAAAGCAAACACCAAACATTAGCAATGCCACCAGCTTGCTCCCTCTGTGTTCCTTTTTAGTCCTTCTACTTCCCATTTTTTATTCCTTGATAGCCTTTTCTTCTTCTCAACTCACTGGAGTTGTATTAATGCCTGGCTTCAGGTTTGGAGGGTGAAAGACTCCATCAAGCATCTGAGTCATGAAGCACATCTTCAGACTTCCTTTAACATTTCCAGACTTGCTTTTGCAGGAGGTCAGGGTTACCTGCTGAGGAATGGACTGTGAGCTTCGGACTTCTCCTGAGCGGAGATGGGGCTGCATGTCTTATAGAAATGGAAAAATTGGAGGATTTCAGTCACAAATTAATGCTTATTTCTTAGTCCTTCTATACCTGTATTTATGTGGGTTTTTTTGGTTTGGTTTGTTTTTTTGTTTTTTTTTTTTTTTTTTTTTTTTTTTTAAGAAAGCCATCCAGACTATAGTCAGATACCTAATTATCGTATTTATTTAAAATTATCGAGTAATGATTTTGGCTTTTTTTTTCATTTATTCACTCACCAATTTCCTTTCATTTAAAAATTATGAGTCTTCAACATGGGCTAAAACTTACTGGATTTTCACTTCAACAAAAGACAGTACATGAACCTTCCTTCTAAGAAATAAACCACTAAAACCTCTGTATATGTGGCCTTGTCTGAACTATTATGTTGGGGGATTACTGGAGCTTGCACAAATACCTGGGAACAACAATCATCATCGTACATGCATCAGTCAACATGAATTGGAAATAGTATTTCTTGCTGGCTCTACTGAAAACAGAGACTCAAAACTGTTCAATTTTTGATATATTTATAGGCAGTGGTAAGATACACTGCAAGGGGAAATTCATGTTGGTTGATAACACCAGGACTGATGAGATTGTGCTCCTATTTCCTATTTATAAAAACATGGGTACTTACACTGTGATAGTGCTTAGTTGATAATTTAAAATCTGATGCTCTTTTAACTTCATTTACCTCTCTTAAGGCCTTTAGATTTGGAGATTAAGTCAGTTGAGCTGTGTCCTGACACCCTGATACAAAGACAGCAATCAGGGTGTCTGGAGAGGCTGTAGGGTTAGGATCATGCAGTTGTGTGTATACTCTTGCAGCTGTGCAGGTTTTTTGGTGGTGTTTGAGAATGCTGTATGCTCTTGTAACAAATATGGAACTTTGGGCTAGGAAGTTAGCTGAGGTAGGTGGAAAAGCCCTTGGGAGGGAGGGAAAAGATGGATGGGAGAGCTCCCCCTGTTCTGCTGAGGTGCAAGAGCAATAGCTGGGTTTGAATTACAGCACTGCAGTTTTGTTAAATTTCTCATTTACAGAGGAAAAACATTGTGTCTGTACATGCAGCACTGAAATTAATATGCCTAGATTAACAGTTTTCATTTTTTAAAATTCCACCATTCACTGATATTTTTATTAATAGACAAAGCCTAATTAAACCAGTCCCAGTCAGCACTGACAGGAATTGCATGGCTCCAGGATTTTCAAAGGTGGCTGGAGACAAAAACAGGGCAGGACTTTCTCAGTGATCTCTCCAAAAGTATTAAGAAGATGAAAATACAGGAAAATACATACAGGAAGTGAGTTGCTGGCCTAAGGGGCAGCATGACATATTTTGTGTAGCATCAAACCAAATCCCAGAGTATGAGAGGACTTGCAACAGATGCAATTTATTTATTAGTGTTAGTGGAAAATCAGTTTTCTGAGTTTCTTGACTTTATCCATGGTCTGAAGATACTTGCAACTGAAGAAGTGGTCAAGGGAGTCATACTAGTACAGATGCTTAAATGTGAAATTAATTAATTAGGTACTCTGATGAGCAAATATAAATATATAAAGAAAAAATTGTTAATTGTGCATAGGCTGTGAGAAGACTTAGTAATAACTGAGAAATTGGAAATGATCATTAGCGGAAAGATATTTGACAGTGTTTTTACAGAAATATGGTTGAAGGATTCACATGATTGAAGCACAGAAATGACTAGGTAACATGCCGGGAAGAAAGTGATATTTGATTTTGGAATGAAGAGAACAGGTTTTACAGTTCTTGTGAACTGATATTTTAGCCAGAAAGGAATAAACAGAGGGTATCTGATGTGGACCACCAAATGAGAATATAATGCCTTTTTGCCTCCTAACAGATAAAGGTAAAGGATGCGTGCTGCTTCAGAGGATTTCATCCTAGGGAATTTACTTTACCAGTTTGATAGTAGCAAAACATTCTGTGTATTTTTAAGGGGAAAAAAAGGCAGCTGGGCCAGTGCCTGTGTCTGACACAATATTTAATAAGCAGTTTGGTGCAATTCTCCTTTAGGCCTCTTTTTATTTAAAATGAGCTGTTACCTGGGCATCTGTTATTCATAAATGCAGCATAGTACCTAAGAAAGAAGAAATTTCTCAGTGCTGAAAATTGGAAAGAAGCAGGCTTTACAAAATATAACTGTAGCAGAGAATCATGCTGAAAACATATGTGGAGAACGTGAAACTTCCTGTCAGATTGTAAATTACTTAGGTGCCAGAAATAAAGATTTTTGTGAAATCAGAAGTCGGCCTCAGTGTGTCTATTACACTACACTTTTTAATTACATTATTTTCTTGCAATACATCCCCTGCTTTTGCGGGGGGAATGGGGGCGGTGCTTGGGGTTTGTTTGTTTTTGTTTGTTTTTGTTGGGGGTTTTTGTTGCTTTTTACAAAAGGTGGAGAAACTGTCATTTTCATGCCTCACTGATACACAGGAAGAATTTTGAGAGGCTTACTTTACCTAATCCTCATTGTTCAATATAGTCTTATTTGCATTCCCATAACCAATCCCTAAACTGAAAAATAAAAGTTATTTTCTTAGTGTGAGTGGGGTTTTTTTTTGTTGTTGGGTTTTTTTGTTTTGTTTTGTGGGGTTTTTTTGTGGTGGTTTTTTTTTTTTTTTTTTGGTTTTTTTTTTTTTTTACCATGAAGGAAGAGCACCCTGTTTTAATGACAGGGAATGCAGCAACAAACAGATTAAGGTCAGAAGCACCACTTTGTTAAATACTGTAATTTGAAGTGCAGCTTTGCTTGGTTTAAACGATATCCAGACATACTCCAGACCTCTGCAGACCTCTCCTAGATGCATTTCTTTGCCCTACCTCTCCAGCACTGGCCTTCCCTGTGCACTGCAGGGACACCCGTGTCAGCTGGTCTCTGCCTCCCACATGAGGTCAAGCCTTGAACTTCACACTTAGTGGAACTGTCACAGTTTCTGACCTGTGCTGGGAAAAGCAAGGAGATGCATTTCAATCTTCAGCTAACAAAAGGACATTTGCTGCTGCAGCAGTAGTAAAGAAGGATGTCAGGTAGTTGCTAATAATGTCCAAGATACTAATTCTGTTGTAACACACAACCTGGCCTCAAGCTTTCTTTCAGAAAGACTGAGTCCTCAAAAAAAGAAATTGCTTCCAAAACAACCCCAGCTCTTGGAAAGATGATGACAGTCCAGAGACAATGTGAGTGTGTGTGCTAATAAACTGCCAATATTGTAAAATGATCACCAAATTGATCCAAGTAGCTGTAGTTCTGGTAGCCAAGTACTGGTGAAAATCACAGAATGATACAGTATACAAGCAGTGAAGAAAGATTTTCTGTGAAACTAATTTTGACAAACTTGCATAACAAGTTGAGAATGGCAAAACATCATTTCGCATATGATATTCTGGTTAAAAATAGCATTACACAAAATCAATATGGCACCTATTTCTGTTGGCATCCTAGGAATGTTCTTGGTGTTATGATAATCAATTTTCTGGAAGAAAATGAGTTGCTGGAAAGTTTGCAGGTGACAAACTGCTGGCCAAATCACTTGTACAAGTAAAGGTCATGGTTTGATTTATTTTAGTGCAAAACCAAATGCACAGAAGTTAGGAGGTAGGTGATGCTTTTAGGCAGTGCCAGCAAGAGTTGGGGGCAGAGGGGGCAAGAGCTGGATGTTCCTCTGGCTCTGGTCCAGGGGGTTTTCCAGATGCCTTCTGTCCCATCTGGGTCACCAGAAACTGATGTCTTTGAAGGCTGACCTGGAACAGAGTCTAGACAGAGTTAAATAATAAAGTAGGTATTTATTAGAAGGCCTCAATAGATGCACCTTGGGCAGTACAAGAGCCCAGCCAGGACTACACCCAAGATGAACCAAAATGATCACACAATGGATGAGGTCTCTCACTTTTATAAATTCTGATCCATTATCTTATTTGAGTTAATTGTCCAATTACATCTTTAGATTATTAAGTCACATCCTTCTTGTTTTTCTCTCTTCAGTCCACTGTTGTTTATGCTTTTGGGCCTGAAATTTGGATCATTTTTCCTTGGTCCCCAGCTAGAAAAGGAATTGTTTTTTCTATCTACTCTGTGAGGAGAGCTTACTATCCCCTAATATGAAGCTCAGAACTACACACTAAAGCAGAACGGAATCTGAAAAATATAAAAGCTAAAATCTGAGGCATCAAAAACATGGTGTAGATGATTTCATAAAGAGACATCCCCACAAGGACAACACACTGTCTGGTCTGCCTGTAGGGATTAGGTTTCCCAATCTGCCAACCTGCCCAGCCTATGGAACCGGCTGGTACTGAGGGAGGTGCTGAGGTTGCAGCTTCTGGCCCAGTGCAGGCAGGTCACAGGGTCAGAAGGACCAGTTCAATATCATGTGGAAAAAGAAGAGGTGCATTGGAAGTGCCTCCAGGAATGATTCTTAAGGTGAGGGAAAGTTGGCCTTGTTATTTTACAAAAGCAAGATGTGGTTAATCTTAGCACCTGTGTGTGGGAGAAGAGAGCACTGACACTACATCCCCTTAAGCCAATAAAGGTGTGGTGAGAACTGGTGCTTGGAAGTTGGAATAAGACAAATTGATACAGAATATGAAATACACCTTTTAGCAAACTAATTAATAATTGAAATGATTTATTAAGAGAAGTGATGGACTCTTCATTACTGATATCTTAAAGTCAACACTGCTGGACGTCATTCTGCGTGAAAGGCTGTAACGCGACAAATGTTATGAAATTATTGGTTGAGGGCTTTTAGCCCAAGGTCAAATCTTACAATCTTAGAATATATTAATCCATGAAAATTCTTTCCAATTTATTGCAGACATGCTGCCATTGCAGTGTAATATAAACTAGATGTATTAGGCTGATCTTCAAAGGTTTGCTTGGAGTGACCTCAGGAAATTTATGAATATGTATAAAAAGTGAGGTGCCTAAGGCAGGGTTAAGAAAAGTTTCGCATTTTGCCTGTACCACCTCCTGTATGGGATCTACCTGACATGAAGCACATCAGTGAACTGCTGCTCTGGGACTCTGCAGGGCAGTGTGAACGTGTTCCCTGGGATGGGAGGATAGCCTGGGAGCAACGCAAAAAGCCATGGGCTGTCTATGGGATATGCCCCACAGCCACCGAGATGTGGAGACAATTACTTGGGAGAACAGGTGTGGAATGGGCTCCCTTCCCACAAACTATTCACAGGGTTGCGACACCCCTCGGGGAGGCTCATAGTCCTGCCGCAGCCTTAATTTTTTATTTCTTTTCTATTTGTTTTTGGTTTTGTTTTGTGTAATTCGAGCGGTGTCAGGTGTCCAAAAAAACCGCCAGTTCTGAGGGAAAAAGAAACCGGTTTAAAAAACAAAACAAAAAAAAAATCCCCAAAAAACCCCCAAAAAACCCCACCAAAACCCCACGACTTCTGCTCTAGCGAAACGCCCCGCTCCTGCGTGCCGCAGAGCTGCCGTGGCCCGGGCTGGCTGCGCGTGTGCGTGTGCGGGGTGCCGAGCCCGAGTGGGAGCGTGTTTGCGTGCCGCGTGTGCGCGGGGGAGGGCGGGGAGAGTGCGCGGAGCCCGCCCGCGCTGGGCCGCCCTGCCAGCGGGCTCCGTGCGTGGGCCAGGCGGGTCGCGCGTGGGGACAGCGCCGATGGGCAGCGGCCGCAGCTCGCACCTCCCCGCGCTCACCCGCGCCCGCCTTGGCAGCTCCACCTGGAGAAGGTGCCCGACCCACAGGCAGCGAACGCTGATGCCGTGAAGAGGGAGCTCGGTCCGGCCCCCGCCGCCGTCGCACACTTTGCACTGCCCCCGGCCGCGCATCCTGCCCGGCGGCTTTGCCCGACCCGCAGGAAGGGCGCAGGCGGCACCTCGCTCCCGCGGCGGGGGCTGCCCCGACTCCCGCGGAATGCGGCATTAGCACCCCCGCCCGGCTCGGCACCGCTCCCCTTCTCCGCCTCCCCGGCTCTAGAGGGGGGGATTTTTCCTCTTCGGCGTTTTCTGCCGGAGCATCCCTTTTTTCCCTTTTCACCCTTTTGGAGGAGGAGGAGGAGGAGGGGGAAGGAAGGAAGTGTTCAATGAGGGCTGCTCGGCTACCCCCCCCGCGCCTGAGAGGTGCTGTCCCTCCCTGAGCGGAGAGGGGGGAGAGCTGCCGAGGAGGCAGAGGCAGGTCCCGCTCCCTTGCTGTGCCGCCGGGGAGAGCGGAGGAGGGTGGTGGGGAGAGTGTCTGTGTGTGCGTGGTGGTGGTTATTTATTTATTTATTGCTCCTGGTGGTTGCAGCTGGCAGACCTGGGAAGGAGTAGGCGCCATTGCCAGAAGGATTATTGCCAGGGGAGGGGAGGGGGGGGAAGAGAGAGGAGACCCCGAGGCTTCCGAGGAAGCGGAGACAGGCAGATCTTTCCCTCCCGCCTTGGCTTCTGCCGCCGGGGGATGCGCCCAGACTGAGAGGGGCTCGGCTCTCTTCCGCCGCTCAGCCCGTTCCCCCACCCTCAGTCCTCCTCCTCCTCCTCCCCATCCAGCAGCATGCATCCCTCTCCGCGGAGACCGGCCGCTGCCACCTCCAACCCTGCCATGCTACTGCTGCTCCTGTGCCTGGGCTGGGCGCCGCCGGGCTGGGGCTGGTCGCGGGGCAGCTCCCGGGGGACGGCCGGGCTGCCCCCCAACGCCACCACGCCGATCTCCATCATGGGCTTGATGCCAGTCAACCAGTCCGAGGAGGAGAGCAGGATCACCCAGGGAGTGCTGCCCGCCGTGTATCTGGCCATGGATCAGATCCGCAACGAATCCCTGCTCAACCCCTATTCCCTGGACCTGCGGGTCTACGACACGGAGGTAGGGACCGCCGCGGGCCCCGCGCCGCCGGGCGCAGGGGGAGGCGCCGCCGCCCAGTCCCGGGGCGCTGCGGGTGCAGGGGCGCAAGGGCAGCGCGGACGCCCGGGCCGGGGCTGCGGCGGCCGGCGGGGGCCGTGCGCGCCGCCTCCGAGCCGCCTTGCCCGCCCGGCCCCGCGGGCTGCCGGCAGATGTGCAGGGACCGGCGGCGGAGGGGGAGGACGTGGAGCCGGCGGGCCGTATCCTGCCCGCCCGGTATTACCAGGAGCGGCTGCCCCGGCAGCTGGGGCTCGCCCCGCCGCCCCAGGAGCGCCCCTGTCCGGGAGTCGCCTGCAGCGCGGGGGTGGGCCCGGACGGGTGCCCGGGCGGTGGGGGTTCTTGTCGGTGGCGGCGGCTGGGATCCGCTGCCCTTGGCACGCACGTACACCGGTGGGA